CGTGCTCTGCCCCACAGCTCTGCCCCATATCCGGCGCAGAACGTTCCGGTTCGGCTTTGCTTTGAGAAATCAAGGCTATTGGTCCAAGCAGAAAAGGACTCTGGGTATTTTTGTTGGTTGGGGGCAGACCCCCATGTGTGACCCCCATGGGGGCAGACCCCCATGTGTGGGGTGGAGGCGGGGTGGTGGGTCCGGGTCCTATGTCGTTGCCCCATGGAGATCGGGGTGGGGATGGAGGGTTTGGGGGGCCACTTGCAGCTGTCCCTTTCCGTTGCCCCATAGAAAGTCTCCCCTTCTATCAGACCCACATGTGGGTCAGTCTAGAGGTCCAATTGCCCCTCTCCCCTTCCATCGCCCCATAGAAACTTGGACCTCCTTGTACCTCTTCCCTCCTATCTGCCCCACATATGTGGGTCAGCCTAGAGGAACATTAGGGGGTCCCATTGCACCTCTCCCCTTCTATCAGCCCCATGGAAACTTGCACCTCCTTGCCCCTTCCATCGCCCCATAGAAACTTGGGCCCCCTTGCCCCTCTCCCCTTCCATTGCCCCATAGAAACCTGGGCCCCATTGCCCCTCTCCCCTCCTCTCAGCCCCATAGAAACTTGGACCCCTTGCTTCTCTCCCCTTCTATCAGCCCCACATATGGGGGTCATTCTAGAGGACCATTGGGGGGTCCCATTGGACCTCTCCCCTTCTATCAGCCCCATAGAAACTTGGACCTCCTTGCCCCTCTCCCCTCCTATCAGCCCCACATATGTGGGGCAATTTACAGGGCCATTAGGGGTGCCCCATAGCCCCTCTCCCCTCCTCTCAGCCCCACATACGTGGGTCAGTCTAGAGGATAATTGGGCGGTCCCATTGCTCCTCTTTCGACTCCTATTTGCCCCACATGTGTGGGTCAGTCTACAGGACCATTGGGGGGTCCCCATTGCCCCTCTTTCCCCTCCTATCAGCCCCACATATGTGGGTCAGTCTACAGGACCATTGATGGGTCCATTGATCCTCTCCCCTCCTATCAGCCCCACATATGTGGGTCTGTCTAGAGGACCATTGGGGGTCCCATTGCCCCTCTCCCCTCCAATCTGCCCCACATCTGGGCACCCAAGCTTGGATTTCCTTGCTCCTCCCATTGCCCCATAGAAACGTGGACCTCATTGCCCCTCTCCCCTCCTATCAGCCCCACATATGAGGGTCAGTCTAGAGGACCGTTGGGGGGGCCAATTGCCCCTCTCCCCTCCTCTCAGCCCCATAGAAACTTGGACCTCCTTGCCCCTCTCCCCTCCTATCAGTCCCACATACGTGGGTCAGTCTAGAGGACCGTTGGGGGTCCCATTGCCCCTCTCCCCTATCAGCCCCATGGAAGCTTGGATTTCCTTGCCCCTTCCATTGCCCCATAGAAACGTGGACCTCCTTGCCCCTCTCTCCTCCTATCAGCCCCACATATGTGGGTCGGTTTACAGCACATTTGGGGGTCCCATTGCCCCTCTCCCCTCCAATCTGCCCCACATCTGGGCCCCCAAGCTTGGATTTCCTCGCCCCTTCCATTGCCCCATAGAAACGTGGACCTCATTGCCCCTTTCCCCTCCTATCAGGCCCACATATGTGGGTCAGTCTAGAGGACCGTTGGGGTGTCCAATTGCCCCTCTGCCCTCCTCTCAGCCCCATAGAAACTTGGACCTCTTGCTTCTCTCCCCTTCTATCAGCCCCACATATGTGGGTCATTCTAGAGGACCATTGGGGGTCCCATTGGACCTCTCCCCTCCTCTCAGCCCCATAGACACTTGGACCTCTTGCTTCTCTCCCCTCCTATCAGCCCCACATATGTGGGTCAGTCTAGAGGACCATTGGGGGTCCCATTGCCCCTCTCCCCTCCAATCAGCCCCATGGAAGCTTGGATTTCCTTGCCCCTTCCATTGCCCCATAGAAACTTGGATCTCCTTGCTCCTCTCCCCTCCTATCAGCCCCACGGACCCTTCTGCCCCATTGCCCCTTCTATCAGCCCCACATCTGGGTTGGTCTAGAGGACCATGGAGCCCCCTTGCCCCTCTCCCCTTCCATCGCCCCATAGAAATTTGGAGCTCCTTGTACCTCTCCCCTATCTGCCCCACATATGTGGGTCAGTCTAGAGGAACCAAAGGCGGTCCCATTGCACCTCTCCCCTTCTCTCAGCCCCATGGAAACTTGCCCCTCCTTGCCCCTTCCATCGCCCCATAGAAACATGGACCTCCTTGTACCTCTCTCCTCCTATCAGCCCCATAGAAACCTGGACCTCCATCGCCCCATAGAAACCTGGACCTCCTTGCACCTCTCCTCTCCTATCAGCCCCATGGAAGCTTGGATTTCCTTGCCCCTTCCATTGCCCCATAGAAACTTGGACCTCCTTGCTCCTCTCCCCTTCCATTGCCCCATAGAAACCTGGACCTCCTTGCCCCTTCCATTGCCCCATAGAAACTTGGACCTCCTTGCTCCTCTCCCCTTCCATTGCCCCATAGAAACCTGGACCTCCTCTCCCCTTCCATTGCCCCATAGAAACCTGGACCTCCTTGCCCCTTCCATTGCCCCATAGAAACTTGGACCTCCTTGCTCCTCTCCCCTTCCATTGCCCCATAGAAACCTGGCCCTCCATCGCCCCATAGAAACCTGGACCTCCTTGAACCTCTCCTCTCCTATCAGCCCCATGGAAGCTTGGATTTCCTTGCCCCTTCCATTGCCCCATAGAAACCTGGACCTCCTTGCCCCTTCCATTGCCCCATAGAAACCTGGACCTCTTTGCCCCTTCCATTGCCCCATAGAAACGTGGACCTCCTTGCTCCTCTCCCCTTCCATTGCCCCATAGAAACCTGGACCTCCTTGCCCCTTCCATTGCCCCATAGAAACTTGGACCTCCTTGCTCCTCTCCCCTTCCATTGCCCCATAGAAACCTGGACCTCCTTGCCCCTTCCATTGCCCCATAGAAACTTGGACCTCCTTGCACCTCTCCCCTCCTATCCGCCCCACATATGTGGGTCTGTCTAGAGGACCATTGGGGAGTCCCATTGCCCATCTCCCCTCCTATCAGCCCCACATATGTGGGTCAGTCTACAGGATAATTGGGGGTCCCATTGCCCCTCTCCCCTTCCATTGCCCCATAAAAACCTGGACCTCATTGCCCCTCTCCTCTCTTATCAGCCCCACATATGTGGGTCAATTTACAGGACCATTAGGGGTGCCCCATAGCCCCTCTCCCCTCCTCTCAGCCCCACATACGTGGGTCAGTCTAGAGGATAATTGGGCGGTCCCATTGCTCCTCTTTGGACTCCTATTTGCCCCACATATGTGGGTCAGTCTACAGGACCATTGGGGGGTCCCCATTGCCCCTCTTCCCTCCTATCAGCCCCACACATGTGGGTCAGTCTAGAGGACCACTGAGTGCCCCATAGCCCCTCTCCTCTCAGCCCCACATATGTGGGTCAGTCTTCCCATTGCCCCTCTCCCCTCCTCTCAGCCCCACATATGTGGGTCAGTCTAGAGGACCATTGAGTGCCCCATAGCCCCTCTCCTCTCAGCCCCACATATGTGGGTCAGTCTTCCCATTGCCCCTCTCCTCTCCTATCAGCCCCACATATGTGGGTCAGTCTACAGGATAATTGGGGTCCCATTGCCCCTCCTCTCAGCCCCACATATGTGGGTCAGTCTTCACATTGCCCCTCTCCCCTCCTCTCAGCCCCACATATGTGGGTCAGTCTAGAGGACCACTGAGTGCCCCATAGCCCCTCTCCTCTCAGCCCCAAATATGTGGGTCAGTCTTCCCTTTGACCCTCTCCCCTCCTATCAGCCCCACATATGTGGGTCTGTCTACAGGCCCATGGGGGGGTCGAATTGCCCCTCTCCCCTTCTCTCAGCCCCACACATATGGGTCAGTCTAGAGAACCACTGGGGGCGCCCCATAGCCCCTCTCCTCTCAGCCCCACCTATGTGGGTCAGTCTTCCCATTGCCCCTCTCCTCTCCTATCAGCCCCACATATGTGGGTCAGTCTAGAGGACCACTGAGTGCCCCATAGCCCCTCTCCCCTCAGCCCCACATATGTGGGTCAGTCTTCCCATTGCCCCTCTCCTCTCCTATCAGCCCCACATATGTGGGTCAGTCTAGAGGACCACTGAGTGCCCCATAGCCCCTCTCCTCTCAGCCCCACATATGTGGGTCAGTCTTCCCATTGCCCCTCTCCCCTTCTCCCAGCCCCACACATATGGGTCAGTCTAGAGAACCCTTGGGGGCGCCCCATAGCCCCTCTCTTCTCCTCTCAGCCCCACATCTTCCTCGGCGACCCACACATTGGAAAAGAAGACAACACCCCCAGCCACCCCACGGCCGGGACCGGCGACCCATAGAGGACTTGGGGGGCAGAACACCGAAACGGAGAATCCTGGAAGAAACCGGAATTTCCCTGGAGGAAATGAAGTTGTGTAGTCGGCAAATGTGCGATTCTGGTGTTTAACTGACGACAACAACAACAACAACAACAACGACAATATAATATAAAATATACGGTTGTGGGTTTGGTTGGGTTGTGGGTTGAGTTGTTGGGTTAGGTTGTGGGTTGTGGGTTTGAGTTGGGTTGTGGGTTGAGTTGTTTGGGGTTGTGTTGCGTTGAGTTGCATTGTTTTGAGTTGTTGGGTTGTGTGTTGGGTTGAGTTGGGTTGAGTTGTTGGGTTGGGTTGTGGGTTGAGCTGTTGGGTTGTGTGTTGAGTTGTGTGTGTTGCGTTGAGTGGTTGGGTTGAGGGTTGAGTTGCGTTGCATTGGGTTGTGTGTTGGGTTGCGGGTTGAGTTGTTGGGTTGTGTGTTGAGTTGTGTGTGTTGCGTTGAGTGGTTGGGTTGAGGGTTGAGTTGCGTTGCATTGCGTTGAGTTGTGGTTTGGGTTGAATGGTTGGGTTGTGGGTCAGGTTGAGTTGAGTTGTTGGGTTGTGGGTTGGGTTGCGTTGTGGGTTGCGTTGGGTTGTTGGGTTGGGTTGCGTTGTGGGTTGAGTTGGGTTGTTGGGTTGTGGGTTGTGTTGTGGGTTGAGTTGTTGAGTTGGGTTATGGGTTGAGTTGTGTTGGGTTGTGGGTTGGGTAGAGTTGTTGGGTTGTGGGTTGGGTGTGGGTTGTGTTGGGTTGTGGGTTGGGTTCAGTTGAGTTGGGTTAGGTTATGAGTTGGGGTGTTGGGTTGAGTTGGATTGGGTTGTGGGTTGTGTTGTGGGTTGTGTTGTGGGTTGGGTTGAGTTGTTGAGTTGGGTTGAGTTGTTGGGTTTTGTTGTGTTGACTTGTTGAGTTGGGTTGTGGGGTGGGTTGTTGGGTTTGGTTGAGTTGTGTTGTGGGTTGAGTTGTTGAGTTGTGTTGTGGGCTGGTTGAGTTGGGTTGAGATGAGTTGTTGGGTTAGGTTATGGATTGTGGGGTTGCGTTGTGGGCTGGGTTGCGTTGGGTTGTGGTGTTGTGGGTTGGGTTGAGAAGAATTGAGTTGTTGGGTTTGGTTGTGGGTTGCGTTGTGGGATTTGGGTTCAGGCCGGGTTGTGTTCTGTTGAGTTGGGTTAGCTTATGGGTTGTGTTGTGTTGTGGGTTGTGCTGTGGGTTGAGTTGAGTCGGGTTGTGGGTTGGGTTGGGTTGAGTTGTGTGTTGAGTTGTGTGTTGAGTTGGGTTGTGGGTTGGGTTGAGTTGTGTGTTGAGTTGTGTGTTGAGTTGAGTTGGGTTGTGTTGGGTTTTGAGTTGTGTGTTGTGTGTTGAGTTGGGTTGTGTGTTGGGTTGAGTTGAGTTGTGTGTTGAGTTGTGGGTTGTGGGTTGGGTTCGGTTGAGTTTTGGAGTTCGGTTGTGGGTTGAGTTGGGTTGAGTTGTTGGTTGTGTTGTGTGTTGAGTTGAGTTGTCTGTTGAGTTGTATGTTGAGTTGTGTTGTGGGTTGGGTTCGGTTGAGTTTTGGGGTTCGGTTGTGGGTTGAGTTGTGTTGTTGTGTTGTGTTGTGCATTGGGTTGTGGGTTGTGCATTTCCCTTCGGTGCAGAAACCACCCATTCAGTTTCTTGAATCGACAACACACACACACACACACACACAACTTTTGTGAACCAAGAAAAATTTAATAATCTACATATATTTACATACATAAAATTGAATTTAGAACAAGTCCAACCAAGAAACGTTCGGGTTGTGTTGTGTGTTGTGTTGTTGCTTTGCGTTGAGTTGTTGGGTGGTTTTTGGGTTGCGTTGAGTCATTGGGTTGTGTGTTCAGTTGCGTTGCGTTGCGTTCTGTTGAGTTGTGGGTTGAGTTGTGTTGGGTTGAGTTGCGTTGGGTTGAGTTGAGTTGCGTTGGGTTGAGTTGTGGGTTGAGTTGTTGAGTTGCGTTGGGTTGAGTTGCGTTGAGTTGAGTGGTGGGTTGAGTTGTTGAGCGGCGTTGGGTTGAGTTGCGTTGGGTTGAGTTGTGTTGAGTTGTTGAGCTGCGTTGGGTTGAGTTGCGTGGGGTTGAGTTGTGGGTTGAGTTGTTGAGCTGCGTTGGGTTGAGTTGTGGGTTGAGTTGTTGAGCTGCGTTGGGTTGAGTTGTGGGTTGAGTTGTTGAGCTGCGTTGGGTTGAGTTGTGGGTTGAGTTGTTGAGCTGCGTTGGGTTGAGTTGCGTGGGGTTGAGTTGCGTTGGGTTGAGTTGTTGAGCTGCGTTGGGTTGAGTTGTTGAGCTGCGTTGGGTTGAGTTGTTGAGCTGCGTTGGGTTGAGCTGCGTTGGGTTGAGTTGCGTTGGGTTGAGTTGCGTTGGGTTGAGTTGTTGAGCTGCGTTGGGTTGAGTTGTTGAGCTGCGTTGGGTTGAGTTGCGTTGGGTTGAGTTGCGTTGGGTTGAGTTGTTGAGCTGCGTTGGGTTGAGTTGCGTGGGGTTGAGTTGCGTTGGGTTGAGTTGCGTGGGGTTGAGTTGCGTTGGGTTGAGTTGTTGAGCTGCGTTGGGTTGAGTTGTTGAGCTGCGTTGGGTTGAGTTGCGTTGGGTTGAGTTGTGTTGGGTTGAGTTGTTGAGCTGCGTTGGGTTGAGTTGTGTTGGGTTGAGTTGTTGAGCTGCGTTGGGTTGAGTTGCGTTGGGTTGAGTTGTTGAGCTGCGTTGGGTTGAGTTGCGTGGGGTTGAGTTGCGTTGGGTTGAGCTGCGTTGGGTTGAGTTGCGTTGGGTTGAGTTGCGTTGGGTTGAGTTGCATTGGGTTGAGTTGTGGGTTGAGTTGTTGAGCTGCGTTGGGTTGAGTTGCGTTGGGTTGAGTTGTGGGTTGAGTTGTTGAGCTGCGTTGGGTTGAGTTGCGTTGGGTTGAGTTGTGGGTTGGGTTGTTGAGCTGCGTTGGGTTGAGCTGCGTTGGGTTGAGTTGCGTTGGGTTGAGTTGTTGAGCTGCGTTGGGTTGAGTTGTGGGTTGAGTTGTTGAGTTGCGTTGGGTTGAGTTGCGTTGGGTTGAGTTGTGGGTTGGGTTGTTGAGTTGCGTTGGGTTGAGTTGCGTTGGGTTGAGTTGTGGGTTGAGTTGTTGAGTTGCGTTGGGTTGAGTTGCGTTGGGTTGAGTTGTGGGTTGAGTTGTTGAGTTGCGTTGGGTTGAGTTGCGTTGGGTTGAGTTGTGGGTTGGGTTGTTGAGTTGCGTTGGGTTGAGTTGTGGGTTGAGTTGTTGAGCTGCGTTGGGTTGGGTTGTGGGTTGAGTTGTTGAGCTGCGTTGGGTTGAGTTGTGGGTTGAGTTGTTGAGCTGCGTTGGGTTGAGTTGTGGGTTGAGTTGTTGAGCTGCGTTGGGTTGAGTTGTGGGTTGAGTTGTTGAGTTGCGTTGGGTTGAGTTGTTGAGCTGCGTTGGGTTGAGTTGTTGAGCTGCGTTGGGTTGGGTTGTGGGTTGAGTTGTTGAGCTGCGTTGGGTTGAGTTGTGGGTTGAGTTGTTGAGTTGCGTTGGGTTGAGTTGTTGAGTTGCGTTGGGTTGAGTTGTTGAGCTGCGTTGGGTTGGGTTGTGGGTTGAGTTGTTGAGCTGCGTTGGGTTGAGTTGTGTTGGGTTGAGTTGTGGGTTGAGTTGTTGAGCTGCGTTGGGTTGAGTTGTTGAGTTGCGTTGGGTTGAGTTGTGTTGGGTTGAGTTGTGGGTTGAGTTGTTGAGTTGCGTTGGGTTGGGTTGTGGGTTGAGTTGTTGAGCTGCGTTGGGTTGAGTTGTTGAGTTGCGTTGGGTTGAGTTGTGGGTTGAGTTGTTGAGTTGCGTTGGGTTGAGTTGTTGAGTTGCGTTGGGTTGAGTTGTTGAGCTGCGTTGGGTTGGGTTGTGGGTTGAGTTGTTGAGCTGCGTTGGGTTGAGTTGTGGGTTGAGTTGTTGAGCTGCGTTGGGTTGAGTTGTTGAGTTGCGTTGGGTTGGGTTGTGGGTTGAGTTGTTGAGCTGCGTTGGGTTGAGTTGTTGAGTTGCGTTGGGTTGAGTTGTTGAGTTGCGTTGGGTTGAGTTGTTGAGCTGCGTTGGGTTGAGTTGTTGAGCTGCGTTGGGTTGAGTTGTGTTGGGTTGAGTTGTGGGTTGAGTTGTTGACCTGCGTTGGGTTGAGTTGTGTTGGGTTGAGTTGCGTTGGGTTGAGTTGTGTTGGGTTGAGTTGTGGGTTGAGTTGTTGAGCTGCGTTGGGGTGGGTTGTGGGGTGAGTTGTTGAGCTGCGTTGGGCTGGAGCTGTGGGTTGAGTTGTGGAGTTGCGTGGGGGTGAGTTGTTGAGTTGCGGTGGGTTGTGTTGTTGAGCTGCGTTGGGTTGAGTTGTGGGGTGAGTTGTTGAGCTGCGTTGGGTTGAGTTGCGTTGGGCTGAGTTGTGGGCTGAGTTGTTGAGCTGCGTTGGGCTGAGTTGTTGAGCTGCGCTGGGCTGAGCTGTGTTGGGCTGAGCTGTGGGCTGAGCTGTTGAGCTGCGCTGGGCTGGGCTGTGGGCTGAGCTGTTGAGCTGCGCTGGGCTGAGCTGTTGAGTTGCGCTGGGCTGAGCTGTGGGCTGAGCTGTTGAGCTGCGTTGGGTTGAGTTGCTGAGCTGCGTTGGGTTGAGTTGTTGAGCTGCGCTGGGCTGGGCTGTGGGTTGAGTTGTTGAGCTGCGTTGGGTTGAGTTGGTGAGTTGCGTTGGGTTGAGTTGTTGAGCTGCGTTGGGTTGAGTTGTTGAGCTGCGCTGGGCCGAGCTGTTGAGCTGCGTTGGGTTGAGTTGAGTTGTGTTGAGTTGTGGGCTGAGTTGTTGAGCTGCGCTGGGCTGAGTTGTGTTGGGCTGAGCTGTGGGCTGAGCTGTTGAGCTGCGCTGGGCTGAGGTGTGGGCTGAGTTGCTGAGCTGCGTTGGGTTGAGTTGCGTTGGGTTGAGTTGTGTTGGGTTGAGTTGTGGGTTGAGTTGTTGAGTTGCGTTGGGTTGAGTTGTGGGTTGAGTTGTTGAGCTGCGTTGGGTTGAGTTGTGGGTTGAGTTGTTGAGTTGCGTTGGGTTGAGTTGTTGAGCTGCGTTGGGTTGAGTTGCGTTGGGTTGAGTTGTGTTGGGTTGAGTTGTGGGTTGAGTTGTTGAGCTGCGTTGAGTTGTGGGTTGAGTTGTTGAGTTGCGTTGGGGTGAGGTGCGGTGGGGTGAGGTGTGTGGGGGTGTGTTGTGGGGTGAGTTGTTGAGCTGCGCTGGGCTGAGTTGTGGGCTGAGCTGTTGAGCTGCGTTGGGCTGAGCTGCGTTGGGCTGAGCTGTGTTGGGCTGAGCTGTGGGCTGAGTTGTTGAGCTGCGTCTGGGCTGAGCTGTGGGCTGAGTTGCTGAGCTGCGTTGGGCTGGAGTTGTTGAGCTGCGTTGGGCTGAGTTGTTGAGCTGCGTTGGGCTGAGTTGTGCTGGGCTGAGTTGTGGCTGAGCTGCTGAGCTGCGCTGGGCTGGAGTTGTGCTGGGCTGAGCTGTGCTGGGCTGAGCTGTGGGCTGAGTTGCTGAGCTGCGTTGGGCTGAGTTGTGGGCTGAGCTGTTGAGCTGCGCTGGGCTGAGTTGCGTTGGGCTGAGTTGTGCTGGGCTGAGCTGTGGGCTGGAGTTGTTGAGCTGCGTTGGGCTGAGCTGTGGGCTGAGTTGTTGAGTTGCGTTGGGTTGAGTTGCTGAGCTGCGTTGGGCTGAGTTGTTGAGCTGCGTTGGGCTGAGCTGTGCTGGGCTGAGCTGTGGGCTGAGTTGTTGAGCTGCGCTGGGCTGAGCTGTGCTGGGCTGAGCTGTGGGCTGAGCTGTTGAGCTGCGCTGGGCTTGAGCTGTGGGCTGAGCTGCTGAGCTGCGTTGGGCTGAGCTGCGCTGGGCTTGAGCTGTGCTGGGTTGAGCTGTGGGCTGAGCTGTTGAGCTGCGTTGGGCTGAGTTGTGGGTTGAGTTGTTGAGCTGCGTTGGGTTGAGCTGCGTTGGGTTGAGTTGCGTTGGGTTGAGTTGTTGAGCTGCGTTGGGTTGAGTTGCGTTGGGTTGAGTTGTGTTGGGTTGAGTTGTGGGTTGAGTTGTTGAGCTGCGTTGAGTTGTGGGTTGAGTTGTTGAGTTGCGTTGGGTTGAGTTGCGTTGGGTTGAGTTGTGTTGGGTTGAGTTGTGGGTTGAGTTGTTGAGTTGCGTTGGGTTGAGTTGTGGGTTGAGTTGTTGAGTTGCGTTGGGTTGAGTTGCGTTGGGTTGAGTTGTGTTGGGTTGAGTTGTGGGTTGAGTTGTTGAGTTGCGTTGGGTTGAGTTGTGGGTTGGGTTGTTGAGCTGCGTTGGGCTGGGCTGGGCTGGGCTGAGCTGTGCTGGGCTGGGCTGGGCTGGGCTGAGCTGTGGGCTGAGTTGTTGAGCTGCGTTGGGCTGAGCTGTGGGCTGAGTTGCTGAGCTGCGTTGGGCTGAGCTGTGGGCTGAGTTGCTGAGCTGCGCTGGGCTGAGCTGTGGGTTGAGTTGTGTTGAGCTGCGTTGGGTTGAGTTGTGGGTTGAGTTGTGTTGAGCTGCGTTGGGTTGAGTTGTGGGTTGAGTTGTGTTGAGCTGCGTTGGGTTGAGTTGTGGGTTGAGTTGTTGAGCTGCGTTGGGTTGAGTTGTTGAGCTGCGTTGGGTTGAGTTGCGTTGGGTTGAGTTGTGTTGGGTTGAGTTGTGGGTTGAGTTGTTGAGCTGCGTTGAGTTGTGGGTTGAGTTGTTGGAGCTGCGCTGGGCTGAGTTGCGTTGGGCTGAGCTGTGCTGGGCTGAGCTGTGGGCTGGAGCTGTTGAGCTGCGCTGGGCTGAGCTGCGCTGGGCTGAGCTGTGCTGGGCTGAGCTGTGGGCTGGAGCTGTTGAGTTGCGCTGGGCTGGAGTTGCGTTGGGTTGAGCTGTGCTGGGTTGAGCTGTGGGCTGAGTTGTTGGAGTTGCGTTGGGCTGAGTTGTGCTGGGTTGAGTTGTGGGCTGAGCTGCTGAGCTGCGCTGGGCTGAGCTGTGGGCTGAGTTGCTGAGCTGCGTTGGGCTGAGCTGCGCTGGGCTGAGCTGTGTTGGGCTGAGTTGTGGGCTGAGTTGTTGAGCTGCGTTGGGCTGAGTTGCGCTGGGTTGAGCTGTGTTGGGCTGAGTTGTGGGCTGAGTTGTTGAGTTGCGCTGGGTTGAGCTGTGCTGGGCTGAGCTGTGGGCTGAGCTGTTGAGTTGCGTTGGGCTGAGTTGTGCTGGGCTGAGCTGTGGGCTGAGCTGCTGAGCTGCGTTGGGTTGAGTTGCGTTGGGTTGAGTTGTGTTGGGCTGAGTTGTGGGTTGGGTTGTTGAGTTGCGTTGGGTTGAGTTGTGTTGGGTTGAGTTGTGGGTTGAGTTGTTGAGTTGCGTTGGGTTGAGTTGCGTTGGGTTGAGTTGTGTTGGGTTGAGTTGTGGGTTGAGTTGTTGAGTTGCGTTGGGTTGAGTTGTGTTGGGTTGAGTTGTGGGTTGAGTTGTTGAGTTGCGTTGGGTTGAGTTGTGTTGGGTTGAGTTGTGGGTTGGGTTGTTGAGTTGCGTTGGGTTGAGTTGCGTTGGGTTGAGTTGTGGGTTGAGTTGTGTTGAGCTGCGTTGGGTTGAGTTGTGGGTTGGGTTGTTGAGTTGCGTTGGGTTGAGTTGCGTTGGGTTGAGTTGTGGGTTGAGTTGTTGAGTTGCGTTGGGTTGAGTTGCGTTGGGTTGAGTTGTGGGTTGAGTTGTGTTGAGCTGCGTTGGGTTGAGTTGTGGGTTGAGTTGTTGAGTTGCGTTGGGTTGAGTTGCGTTGGGTTGAGTTGTGGGTTGGGTTGTTGAGCTGCGTTGGGTTGAGCTGCGTTGGGTTGAGTTGCGTTGGGTTGAGTTGTTGAGTTGCGTTGGGTTGAGTTGTGGGTTGAGTTGTTGAGCTGCGTTGGGTTGAGTTGTGTTGGGTTGAGTTGCGTTGGGTTGAGTTGTGGGTTGGGTTGGGTTGAGTTGTGGGTTGAGTTGTTGAGCTGCGTTGGGTTGAGTTGTGTTGACAGGTTGAGTTGAGTTGCATTGAGTTGCATGTGTTGAATTGCGCTGAGTTGGGATGAGTTTTGTGGAGTTGTGTTGACTTGTCTTGAGTTGCGTTGACTTGTGTTGAGTTGTGTTGAGTTGCGTTGACTTGTGTTGAGTTGCGTTGACTTGTCCTGCATTGTGTTGAGTTGCCTTGAGTTGCGTTGAGTTGTGTTGCCTTGCGTTGTGTTGACTTGCCTTCCGTTGAGTTATGTTGGGTTGTGTTGACTTGCGTTGAGTTGCATTGAGTTTGGTTGAGTTGTGTTGACTTGTGTTGCGTTGTGTTGCACTGTTGAGTTGTGTCACCACCCCAGTCCCCCTTCCCTTCCCACCCTCAGCCAGTTGAGTTGTGTTGAGTTGTGCTGACTTGCGTCGAGTTGACTTGTCTTGAGTTGTGTTGACTTGGGTTGAGTTTCATTGAGTTGCGTTGACTTGTATTGAGTTGTCTTGCATTGTGTTGAGTTGTGTTGACTTGTGTTGAGTTGTGTTGCCTTGCGTTGAATTGCGTTGCATTGTGTTGAGTTGTGTTGAGTTGTTTTGACTTGCGTTGACTTGTCTTGACCTGGGTTGACTTGCATTGAGTTGTGTTCAGTTGCCTTGACTTGCCTTGAGTTGCATTGTGTTGACTTGTCTTGAGTTGCGTTGACTTCTCTTGAGTTGTGTTGACTTGCGTTGACTTGTCTTGACCTGGGTTGACTTGCATTGAGTTGTGTTCAGTTGCCTTCACTTGCGTTGAGTTGCATTGTGTTGACTTGTCTTGAGTTGCGTTGACTTGTGTTGAGTTGCGTTGACTGCGTTGACTTGTGTTGACTTGTCTTGAGTTGCGTTGACTTGTCTTGAGTTGCGTTGACTTGTGTTGAGTTGCGTTGACTGCGTTGACTTGTGTTGACTTGTCTTGAGTTGCATTGACTTGTCTTGACCTGGGTTGACTTGCATTGAGTTGTGTTCAGTTGCCTTGACTTGTGTTGAGTTGCATTGACTTGTGTTGACTTGTCTTGAGTTGCCTTGACTTCTCTTGAGTTGGGTTGAGTTGGGTTGAGTTGCATTGAGTCATTGGGTTGTGTTGACTTGTGTTGAGTTGCGTTGAATTGTGTTGACTTGCGTTGACTTGCGTTGTGTTGAGTTGTGTCAGCCTTCCGACCCTCAATCAGTTGAGTTGCATTGAGTTGCGTTGAGTTGTGTTGCCTTGCGTTGCGTTGTTGCGTTGTGTCCCCCTCAGTCGCTCACCTCATTGGCCAGCATCTCCAGCTGGCTCCTCTCCCTCCCTCCTTCCTCCCCAAATTCCCCGCCCAGCTGCCAGACCTTGACCCCGCCCCCTCCGTCCCCGGCGGCCAATAGCTGAGCCCGCCGGGGGTTGAACTCCAGGCAGTAGGCGGGCTCTGGGCTTTGACGGACGGAGAGCGAGGGCTTCTGGGAGTTTTGGCCGAAGTCAAAGAGATGGATTTCCCCTGGGGAAAGACAGAGTAATTTATTCTAATTTTATTCGGCAAATTTAAATAAATCTTACAGGAATATTTGAATACATTTAAATTCAGATAAATATTTTAATACTAAATATAGTAAATATAGTAAATAAGCCTAGGCAGGGTATAAATAAGGTATTATTATTAGTAATAGTAGTAGTAGTGGCTGGGGAAGCCCAGGCAGGGTATAAATAATAAGTTGTTAGTAGTAGTATAGTAGTAGTAGTAGTAGTAGTAGTAGTAGTAGTAGTAGTAGTGGCAGCGGCGGTGGTAGCCCAGGCAAGGTATAAATAGGAAGTTGTTAATATTAGTAGTAATACTAGTGGTTGGGGAAGCCCAGGAAGGGTATAAATAATAAGTTATTATTAGTAGTAAGAATAATAATACTAGTGGTTGAGGAAGCCTAGGCAGGGTATAAATAAGAAGTTGTTGTTAGTAGTAGTAATACTAGTGGTTGGGGAAGCCCAGGAAGGGTATAAATAATAAGTTATTATTAGTAGTAAGAATAATAATACTAGTGGTTGAGGAAGCCTAGGCAGGGTATAAATAAGAAGTTGTTGTTAGTAGTAGTAATACTAGTGGTTGGGGAAGCCCAGGAAGGGTATAAATAATAAGTTATTATTAGTAGTAAGAATAATAATACTAGTGGTTGAGGAAGCCTAGGCAGGGTATAAATAAGAAGTTGTTGTTAGTAGTAGTAATACTAGTGGTTGGGGAAGCCCAGGAAGGGTATAAATAATAAGTTATTAGTAGTAGTAGTAATAATAATACTAGTGGTTGAGGAAGCCTAGGCAGGGTATAAATAATAAGTTGTTATTAGTAGTAGTAATACTAGTGGCTGGGGAAACCCAGGCAGGGTATAAATAATAAGTAGTTATTATTAATAGTAGTAATAGTGATTGGGGAAGCCCAGACAGAGTATAAATAATAGTTAGTAATGGTAGTAGTAGCGGCAGCTAGGGAAGCCTAGGCAGGGTATAAATAATAAGTTGTTATTATTAGTAGTAATACTAGTGGCTGGGGAAGCCCAGGCAGGGTATAAATAATAAGTTGTTGTTAGTAGTAGTATAGTAGTAGTAGTAGTAGTGGCGGCTGGGGAAGCCCAGGCTGGATATAAATAATGTTATTATTAGTAGTAATATTAGTGGCTGGGGAAGCCCAGGCAAAATATAAATAATGCGATATTAGTAGTAGTAGTAGTAGCAGCAGCTGGGGCAGCCCAGGGAGGGTATAAATAATGCGTTGTTGTTATTAGTAGTAGTAGTAGCAGCTGGGGCAGCCCAGGGAGGGTATAAATAATGCGTTGTTGTTATTATTAGTAGTAGCAGTAGCAGCTGGGGAAGCCCAGGGAGGGTATAAATAATAAGTTATTAGTAGTAGTAGTGACTGGGGAAGCTCAAACAAGGTATAAATAATAAGTAATTAGTAGTAGTAGTAGTAGTAGTAGCAGCAGCAGCAGCTGGAGAAGCCCAGCTAGAGTATAAATAATAATATTATTATTATTATTAGTGGCTGGGGAAGCCCAGGCAGGGTATAAATAGTAAGTTATTAGTATTAGTAATCCCTGGGGAAGCCCAGGCAGGGTATAAATAATAAGGTAGTAGTAGTACTAGTAGTAGTAGTAGCAGTAGCAGCTGGGGAAGCCCAGGCAGGGTATAAGTAATAAGTTGTTAGTAGTAGTAGTAGTAGTAGTAGGGGCTGAGGAAGCCCAGGCAGAGTATAAATAGTAAGTTGGTATTATTATTAATAGCAGCACTAGTGACTAGGGAAGCCCAGGCAGGGTATAAATAATGTAGTAGTAGTAGTGCCTGGGAAAGCCCAGGGAGGGCATAAATAATAAGATAGTAATAGTAGTAATAATAATACTAGTGCCTAGGGAATCCCAGGGAGGGTACAAATAATAAGTCAGTAGTAGTAGTTGTAGTAATAGTACTAGTGGCTAGGGAAGCCCAGGGAGGGTACAAATAATAAGTTAGTAGTAGTTGTAGTAATAGTACTAGTGGCTAGGGAAGCCCAGGGAGGGTATAAATAATATTAGTAGTAGTAATAGTAGTGGCTGGGGAAGCCCAGCCAGGGTATAAATAATAAGTTAGTAGTAGCAGTAGTAGTAGAAATACTAGTGGCTGGGGAAGCCCAGAGTATAAATAGTAAGTTATTATTACTAGTACTAGTAGTAGTAGCAGCTGGGGAAGCCCAGGCAGGGTATAAATAAGTTGTTAGTAGTAGTAGTAGTAATAATAGTGGCGGCGGCTGGGTAAGCCCAGGAAGGATAGAAATAATAAATTAGTAGTAATAGCAGCTGGGGAAGCCCAGGCAGAGTATAAATGTCAATTGGTTGTAGTAGTAGTAGTAGTAGTAGTAGTAGTGGCTGGGGAAGCCCAGGCAGGGTAGTAGTAGTAATAGTAATAGTAGTACCTTCCCCGGTAGCAGCGGCGAAGACCAGGGGCCGGACGGGGGACCACCGGACCCCGAAAACATACTTCTTGGAGAGTTGCAGGGATACTAGGGGCTGTGCTTGCAACATGGAGTAGAGGTGAACATGGCCGTCGGTCCCTCCGCTCAGAAAGAGGTTCCTCCCGGGAGGAAGAGTAATACATAAAAGAATAATAATAATAATAATAATAATAATGTGGAAGCAGTGAGTAATAGTAAGTAACAAGTAATAAGTAATAATGTCTTCCTATCGTATCTTCCTGTAATAATAACATCGTCCTGTACTACTATCTTCCTGTAGTAATAATAATAATAATAATAATAATAATAATAATATCTTAATGTACTACTACTATCTTCCTGTAATAATAACAATAACAAAACAACAACAAAATAATAATAATAATAATAATAATAATAATAATAATAATATCTTCCTGTACTACTATCTTCCTGTAGTAATAATAATAACAATAATAATAATAATATCTTCCTGTACTACTATCTTCCTGTAATAATAATAATAATAATAATAATAATAATAATGTCTTCCAATCATCACCATATCTTCCCGTAATAATAACAACATCTTCCTTTACTACTATCTTCCTGTAGTAATAATAATAATAATAATAATAATAATAATAATAATAATGTCTTCCTATCATATCTTCCTGTAATAACAATAATAACAACATCTTCCTGTACTACTACTATCTTCCTTTAATAATAATAATAATAATAATAATAATGTCTTCCAATCATCACCATATCTTCCCGTAATAATAACAACATCTTCCTTTACTACTATCTTCCTGTAGTAGTAGTAATAATAATAATAATAATAATAATAATAATAATGTCTTCCAATCATCACCATATCTTCCAATAATAATAGTAATAATAATAATACCACCACCCCCGGTCTAATAATAATAATAATAATAATGTCTTCCAATCATCACCATATCTTCCTGTAATAATAATAGTATCTTCCTGTACTACTACTATCTTCCTGTAGTAGTAGTAGTAGTAGTAGGAAGAAGAAGAAGAAGAAGAAGAATACCAAGAAGAAGAAGAAGAAGAAGAAGAAGAAGAAGAAGAAGAAGAAGAATACCAAGAAGAAGAAGAAGAAGAAGAAGAAGAAGAAGACCACCCCCGGTCTAATAATAATAATAATAGTAGTAGCAGTAGTAGTAATAATAATAATAACAATAACAACAACAACAATAATAATAAATTAATAATAATAATAACAACAATAATAACAACAACAATAATAACAATAATAATAATAATAATAATAATGTCTTTCAATCATCACCGTATCTTCTTGTAATAATAATAATATCTTCCTGTACTACTACTACCTTCCTGTAGTAGTAGTAGTAATAATAATAATAATAATAATAGTAGTAGTAGTAGTAATAATAACAATAACAAAACAACAATAATAAATAAATAAATAATAATAATAATAATAAACCTGTGGAACGGCGAGCAGCTGAGCGAGTAGACGGGCCCGCCGTGGGGCGCGAAAGCCATCTGGGCAGGGGCCTTGAGGGGCAGGCCGCCCCCCGAGTGGGGCGGCCCCACGGCGGGGGTCTCGGCCCCCGCCCAGCACTTGAGGAGGTCGCCTCCTTCGGTCCCGGCCACGAAGACCGTGGGGTCAAAGGGGGAGAAGGAGAGGGCCGTGACCCCCAGCGGGGCGTCCCCACGGCAAATCTGTGGGGCGGGAGGAGGAAAGGAGAGGAGTGTGAGTATCTGTGGGGCAGGAGGAGGAAAGGAGAGGAGTGTGAGTATCTGTGGGGCAGGAGGAGGAAAGGAGTGTGAGTATCTGTGGGGCAGGAGGAGGAAAGGAGAGGAGTGTGAGTATCTGTGGGGCAGGAGGAGAAAAGGAGAGGGGTGTGAGTATCTGTGGGGCAGGAGGAGGAAAGGAGAGGAGTGTGAGTATCTGTGGGGCAGCAGGAGGAAAGGAGAGGAGTGTGAGTATCTGTGGGGCAGGAGGAGGAAAGGAGAGGAGTGTGAGTATCTGTGGGGCAGGAGGAGGAAAGGAGAGGAGTGTGAGTATCTGTGGGGCAGGAGGAGGAAAGGAGGAGGGTGTGAGTTCCCAGGGGAAATCTGTGGGGCAGGAGGAGGAAATGAAGGGGCTGCGAGTAACCAAGGTGGAGCCCCCCATAATGCTGTGGGGCAAGAGGAGGAAGGATTCAAAGGGGGAGAAGGAGAGGGCTGTGACCCCCAGCGGGGCGTCCCCACGGCAAATCTGTGGGGCGGGAGGAAAGGAGAGGGGTGTGAGTTAACAGGGGAAATCTGTGGGGCAGGAGGGTGGCACCCCCCATAATGCTGTGGGGCAGGAGGAGGAAATGAAGGGGGCTGTGAGTTAACACAGTAAATCTGTGGGGCAGGAGGAGGAAATTAGGGGGTTGTGAGTTAACACAGGAAATCTGTGGGGCAGGAGGAGGAAAGGAGGGGGGCGTGAGTAACCGAGGTGGCGCCCCCCATAATGCTGTGGGGCAGGAGGAGGAAATGAGGGGGCATGAAATCTGTGGGGCAGGAGGAGGAAAGGAGAGGAGTGTGAGTATCTGTGGGGCAGGAGGAGGAAAGGAGGAGGGTGTGAGTTAACACGGGAAATCTGTGGGGCAGGAGGAGGAAATGAGGGGGCTGCGAGTAACCAAGGTGGAGCCCCCCATAATGCTGTGGGGCAAGAGGAGGAAGGGTTCAAAGGGGGAGAAGGAGAGGGCCGTGACCCCCAGCGGGGCGTCCCCACAGCAGATCTGTGGGGCGGGAGGAGAAAAGGAGAGGAGTGTGAGTATCTGTGGGGCAGGAGGAGGAAAGGAGGAGGGTGTGAGTTCCCAGGGGAAATCTGTGGGGCAGGAGGAGGAAATGAGGGGGTTGTGAGTACCCAAGGGGGCGCCCCCCATAATGCTGTGGGGCAGGAGAAAGAAATGAGGGAGTTGTGAGTTAACACAGGAAATCTGTGGGGCAGGAGGAGGAAAGGAGGGGGGCGTGAGTAACCGAGGTGGCGCCCCCCATAATGCTGTGGGGCAGGAGGAGGAAATGAGGGGGCATGAAATCTGTGGGGCAGGAGGAGGAAAGGAGAGGAGTGTGAGTATCTGTGGGGCAGGAGGAGGAAATGAGGGGGCTGTGAGTAACCAAGGTGGAGCCCCCCATAATGCTGTGGGGCAAGAGGAGGAAGGGTTCAAAGGGAGAGGAGAGGGCCGTGACCCCCAGCGGGGCGTCCCCACGGCAAATCTGTGGGGCGGGAGGAGAAAAGGAGAGGGGGGTATCTGTGGGGCAGGAGGAGGAAAGGAGGAGGGTGTGAGTTCCCAGGGGAAATCTGTGGGGCAGGGGGAGGAAATTAGGGGGATGTGAGTAACCAAGGTGGAGCCCCCCATAATGCTGTGGGGCAAGAGGAGGAAGGGTTCAAAGGGGGAGAAGGAGAGGGCCGTGACCCCCAGCGGGGCGTCCCCACGGCAAATCTGTGGGGCGGGAGGAGAAAAGGAGAGGGTTGTGAGTATCTGTGGGGCAGGAGGAGGAAAGGAGGGTGTGAGTTGCCATGGCAAATCTGTGGGGCAGGAGAAAATGAAGGGGACGTGAGTACCCAGGGTGTTGCCCCCCATAATGCTGTGGGGCAGGAGGAGGAAAGGAGGGGGCGTGAAATCTGTGGGGCACAGGAAATCTGTGGGGCAGGAGGAGGAAATTAGGGGGCTGTGAGTAACCAAGGTGGAGCCCCCCATAATGCTGTGGGGCAGGAGGAGGAAATGAGGGGGCCGTGACCCCCAGCGGGGCGTCCCCACGGCAAATCTGTGGGGCAGGAGGAAAGGAGAGGGGTGTGAGTTAACGAGAAATCTGTGGGGCAGGAGGGTGGCACCCCCCATAATGCTGTGGGGCAGGAGGAGGAAATGAAGGGGGCTGTGAGTTAACACAGTAAATCTGTGGGGCAGGAGGAAAGGAGGGGGCCTGAGTTCCCACGGGAAATCTGTGGGGCAGGAGGAGGAAATTAGGGGGTTGTGAGTTAACACAGGAAATCTGTGGGGCAGGAGGAGGAAAGGAGGGGGGCGTGAGTAACCGAGGTGGCGCCCCCCATAATGCTGTGGGGCAGGAGAAGGAAATGAGGGGCATGAAATCTGTGGGGCAGGAGGAGGAAAGGAGAGGAGTGTGAGTATCTGTGGGGCAGGAGGAGGAAAGGAGGAGGGTGTGAGTTCCCAGGGGAAATCTGTGGGGCAGGAGGAGGAAATGAGGGGGCTGTGAGTAACCAAGGTGGAGCCCCCCATAATGCTGTGGGGAAGGAGGAGGAAAGGAGGAGGGTGTGAGTTCCCAGGGGAAATCTGTGGGGCAGGAGAAGGAAATTAGGGGGCTGCGAGTAACCAAGGTGGAGCCCCCCATAATGCTGTGGGGGAGAAGGAGAAAAGGAGGGGGGCGTGAGTTTCCACAAGAAATCTGTGGGGCAGGAAGAAAGGAAGGGGGCGTGAGTACCCAAGGGGGCACCCCTCATAATGCTGTGGGGCAAGAAGAGGAAGGGTTCAAAGGGGGAGAAGGAGAGGGCCGTGACCCCCAGCGGGGCATCCCCACGGCAAATCTGTGGGGCGGGAGGAGAAAAGGAGAGGGGTGTGAGTTAACAGGGGGAATCTGTGGGGCAGGAGGAGGAAATGAGGGGGATGTGAGTTCCCATGGGAAATCTGTGGGGCAGGAGGAGGAAATGAGGGGGTTGTGAGTTGCCAAGGTGGTGCCCCCCATAATGCTGTGGGGCGGGAGAGGAGGAAAGGAGGGGGCCGTGACCCCCAGCGGGGCATCCCCACGGCAAATCTGTGGGGCGGGAGGAAAGAAGAGAGGTGTGAGTTAACACGGGAAATCTGTGGGGCAGGAGGAGGAAATGGGGGGGTTGTGAGTTAACACGGGAAATCTGTGGGGCAGGAGGAGGCAATGAGGGGGCTGTATCTGTGGGGCAGGAGGAGGAAAGGAGGGGGTTGTGAGTTGCCATGGGAAATCTGTGGGGCAGGAGAAAATGAAGGGGGCGTGAGTACCCAAGGTGTTGCCCCACATAATGCTGTGGGGCAGGAGGAGGAAAGGAGGGGGCGTGAAATCTGTGGGGCAGGAGAAATCTGTGGGGCAGGAGGAGGAAATTAGGGGGCTGTGAGTACCCAAGGTGGCGCCCCCCCATAATGCTGTGGGGCAGGAGGAGGAAATGAGGGGGCCGTGACCTCCAGCGGGGCGTCCCCACGGCAAATCTGTGGGGCAGGAGGAAAGGAGAGGGGTGTGAGTTAACAGGGGAAATCTGTGGGGCAGGAGGGTGGCGCCCCCCATAATGCTGTGGGGCAGGAGGAGGAAATGAAGGGGGCTGTGAGTTAACACAGTAAATCTGTGGGGCAGGAGGAAAGGAGGGGGTTGTGAGTACCCAAGGTGGCGCCCCCCATAATGCTGTGGGGCAGGAGGAGGAAATGAGCGCGCGTGAAATCTGTGGGGCACGGGAAATCTGTGGGGCAGGAGGAGGAAAGGAGGTGGCGTGAGTTCCCACGGGAAATCTGTGGGGCAGGAGGAGAAAATTAGAGGGTTGTGAGTACTCAAGGGGGCGCCCCCCATAATGCTGTGGGGCAGGAGGAGGAAATGAGGGAGTTGTGAGTTAACACAGGAAATCTGTGGGGCAGGAGGAGGAAAGGAGGGGGGCGTGAGTAACCGAGATGGCGCCCCCATAATGCTATGGGGCAGGAGGAGAAAAGGAGGAGGGCCCAACCCTGACCCCAAACCCTGACGCCCAACCCTGACCCCCAACCCCGACGCCCAACCATGACACCTAACCCTGACCCCCAACCCTGACACCTAACCCTGACCCCCAACCCTGACCCCCAACCCCGACGCCCAACCCTGACCCCCAACCCCGACGCCCATCTCTGACCCCCAACCCCGACCCCCAACCCCGACCCCCAACCCCGACGCCCAACCCTGACCCCCAACCCCGACCCCCAACCCCAACCCCCAACCCCGACCCCCAACCCCGACACCCCACCATGACACCTAACCCTGACCCCCAACCCCGACGCCCAACCATGACACCTAACCCTGACCCCCAACCCTGACCCCCAACCCTGACCCCCAACCCCGACACCCAACCGTGACACCTAACCCTGACCCCCAACTCTGACCCCCAACCCCGACGCCCAACCATGACACTTAACCCTGACCCCCAACCCTGACCCCCAACTCTGTCGCCCAACCATGACACTTAACCCTGACCCCCAACCCCGACGCCCAACCATGACACCTAACCCTGACCCCCAACCCTGACCCCCAACCCCGACGTCCAACCATGACACTTAACCCTGACCCCCAACCCTGACCCCCAACCCCGACGCCCAACCATGACACCTAACCCTGACCCCCAACCCTGACACCTAACTCTGACCCCCAACCCTGACCCCCAACCCTGACCCCCAACCCTGACCCCCAACCCCGACGCCCAACCATGACACCTAACTCTGACCCCCAACCCTGACCCCCAACCCCGACGCCCAACCCTGACCCCCAACCCTGACCCCCAACCCCGACCAACCGTGACACCTAACCCTGACCCCCAACCCTGACCCCCAACCATGACACCTAACCCTGACCCCCAACCATGACACCTAACCCTGACCCCCAACCCCGACGCCCAACCCTGACCCCCAACCCTGACCCCCAACCATGACACCTAACCCTGACCCCCAACCCTGACCCCCAACCCTGACGCCCAACCATGACACCTAACCCTGACCCCCAACTCTGACCCCCAACCCTGACCCCCAACCATGACACCTAAATCTGACCCCCAAACCCGACCCCCCAGCTGACCTTCTTGGGCCTGGCCCCCCGGGGGATCTGCCGCAGGGCCAAGGCGAAGCCGGCCACGGGTTCGAGGAGCCCGTCCTTCTCCTCCTGCCATAGGAGGATCTTGCCGTCGGTCGAAGAGCTCAGGAGGCGGGGCTGCTTGTCGCCGGGGAGCCAGGTCACCTGATGGGGGGGAAAGGGCGGGCGGCCATCTTTGATTTCCGATTCCGAAAATCGAAATCGTCGAAATCAAAATCATCAAAATCGAAACCATCGAAATCAAAATCATCAAAATCAAATTCATTGAAATCGAAATCATCAAAATCAAAATCATCAAAATCAGATTCGACCGGAAAATTAAACTACGATTAAACCCCAAAAAATTAAACTGAAACGAGCAAAGTGATTAAATAGAAAGGCAACGAAAAACCGAACGGAAAAATGAAATGAACACGGAAGGAAAAAATTAAATTAAAATTGAAATGAAAACGGAAAGAAAATGGAAGGAAAAAATGAAACGACCCGCCCTCCCCGGGTCACCTGACCCCTTTACCCACCTGCTACACGGGGTCCGTGTGCGAGTCGTCCGGTATCACATGACAGGAAGTCAGCAAGGGACACTTCCTTCCCTGGCTCACGTGACAGGAAGTCAGACCGGGACCCGCCCTCCCCAGGTCACACGACAGGAAGTCAGACCGGGACCCGCCCTCCCCGGGTCACCTGACCCCTTTTCACCCACCTGCTACACGGGGTCCGTGTGCGAGTCGTCCGGTATCACATGACAGGAAGTCAGCAAGGGACACTTCCTTCCCCGGCTCACATGACAGGAAGTCAGACCGGGAGCCGCCCTCCCCGGGTCACCTGACCCCTTTTGACCCACCTGCTACACGGGGTCCGTGTGCGAGTCGTCCTGTATCACGTGACAGGAAGCCAGCAAGGGACACTTCCTTCCCTGGCTCACATGACAGGAAGTCAGACCGGGAGCCGCCCTCCCGGGTCACCTGACCCCTTTGACCCACCTGCTACACGGGGTCCGTGTGCGAGTCGTCCTGTATCACGTGACAGGAAGCCAGCAAGGGACACTTCCTTCCCTGGCTCACGTGACAGGAAGTCAGACCGGGACCCGCCCTCCCCCGGGTCACCTGACCCCTTTTCACCCACCTGCTACACGGGGTCCGTGTGCGAGTCGTCCTGTATCACATGACAGGAAGTCAGCAAGGGACACTTCCTTCCCTGGCTCACATGACAGGAAGTCAGCAAGGGACACTTCCTTCCCCGGCTCACATGACAGGAAGTCAGACCGGGACCCGCCCTCCCCGGGTCACCTGACCCCTTTTCACCCACCTGCTACACGGGGTCCGTGTGCGAGTCGTCCTGTATCACATGACAGGAAGTCAGCAAGGGACACTTCCTTCCCCGGCTCACACGACAGGAAGTCAGACCGGGACCCGCCCTCCCCGGGTCACACGACAGGAAGTCAGAACGGGACCCGCCCTCCACGGGTCACCTGACCCCTTTTCACCCACCTGGTACACGGGGTCCGTGTGCGAGTCGTCCTGTATCACATGACAGGAAGTCAGCAAGGGACACTTCCTTCCCCGGCTCACACGACAGGAAGTCAGACCGGGACCCGCCCTCCCCCGGCTCACATGACAGGAAGTCAGACCGGGACCCGCCCTCCCCGGGTCACCTGACCCCTTTCCACCCACCTGCTACACGGGGTCCGTGTGCGAGTCGTCCTGTGTCACGTGACAGGAAGTCAGCAAGGGACACTTCCTTCCCTGGCTCACGTGACAGGAAGTCAGACCGGGACCCGCCCTCCCCGGGTCACCTGACCCCTTTCCACCTACCTGGTAGACGGGATCCGTGTGCGAGTCGTCCGTCATCCCGCTCCTCCAGATCAGTGGGTCTTCCGGCCGGCCGGTGTCCCAGACCAGGACTTCCCCACTGAACAGCCCCACTGCGAGGGGAGAGAGAAGCCGGATTGGCCGAGGGAGGCAAGACCCGCCCCTTCCTCCCGCTGGAGCCAACTGGGGTTGGGGAAGGCGGGGGGGAGAGACACCGGATTGGCCGATGGGATGGAAGACCCACCCCTTCCTCCTGCTTGAACCAATAGGGGTTGGGGAAGGCACTGGGGGGGACAGGAGGCCGGATTGGCCGACGGGACGCAAGGCCCGCCCCTTCCTCCCGCTGGAGACGATCGGGTTGGGGGGAGAGACGGCGGATTGGCCGACAGGAAGGAAGACCCGCCCCTTCCTCCCACTAGAGCCAATAGGGGTTGGGGTAGGCGGGGACGAGACACCGGGTTGGCTGATGAGATGGAAGACCCGCCCCTTCCTCCTGATAGAGCCAATAGGGGTTTGGGGAAGGTGGGGGGACGTAAGACTGATTGGCCGACGGGACGCAAGGCCCGCCCCTTCCTCCCACTCGAGACAATCGGGTGTGGGGAGAGAGAGGCCGGATTGGCCGACGGGACGTAAGACCCGCCCCTTCCTGCTGCTAGAGCCAATAGGGGTTGGGGAAGGTGGGGGGACAGGAGGCCGGATTGTCCGATGGGATGCAAGACCCGCCCCTTCCTCCCGCTAGAGCCAATAGGGGTTGGGGAAGGCGGGGGGACAGGAGGCCAATTGGCCGACGGGACGTAAGACCCGCCCCTTCCTCCCGCTTGAACCAATAGGGGTTGGGGAAGGCGGGGTCGAGACACCGGGTTGGCCGATGGGATGAAAGACCCGCCCCTTCCTCCCACTCAAGACAATCGGGTTCGGGGAGAGAGAGGCCGGATTGGCCGACGGGACGTAAGACCCGCCCCTTCCTCCCACTGGAGCCAATAGGAGGTTTGGGGAAGGTGGGGGGACAGGAGGCCGGATTGGCCAATGGATGCAAGACCCGCCCCTTCCTCCCGCTAGAGCCAATAGGGGTTTGGGGAAGGTGGGGGGACGTAAGACCGATTGGCCGAGGGGACGTAAGACCCGCCCCTTCCTCCCACTAGAGCCAATAGGGGTTGGGGAAGGCAGGGGGGCAAGAGACACCAGATTGGCTGACGGGATGCAAGACCCGCCCCTTCCTCCCGCTTGAACCAATAGGGGTTGGGGAAGGCGGGGACGAGACACCGGGTTGGCCGATGGGATGGAAGACCCGCCCCTTCCTCCCACTCGAGACAATCGGGTTCGGGGAGAGAAAGGCCGGATTGGCCGATGGGATGGAAGACCCGCCCCTTCCTCCTGCTAGAGCCAATAGGGGTTGGGGAAGGCGGGGGGGAAGAGACACCGGATTGGCCGATGGGATGGAAGACCCACCCCTTTCTCCTGCTAGAGCCAATAGGGGTTTGGGGAAGGTGGGGGGACAGGAGGCCAGATTGGCTGACAGGACGGAAGACCCGCCCCTTCCTGCTGCTAGAGCCAATAGGGGTTGGGGAAGGCGGGGACGAGACACCGGGTTGGCTGATGAGATGGAAGACCCGCCCCTTCCTCCCGCTTGAACCAATAGGGGTTGGGGAAGGCGGGGGGGACGAGACACCGGGTTGGCTGATGAGATGGAAGACCCGCCCCTTCCTCCTGCTAGAGCCAATAGGGGTTTGGGGAAAGTGGGGGGGACAGGAGGCCGGATTGGCTGACAGGACGCAGGACCCGCCCCTTCCTCCCGCTACAGCCAATAGGGGTTGGGGAAGGCGGGGACGAGACGCCGGGTTGGCCGACGGGACGCAAGGCCCGCCCCTTCCTCCCACTCGAGACAATCAGGTTCGGGGAGAGAAAGGCCGGATTGGCTGACGGGACGTAAGACCCACCCCTTCCTCCTGCTAGAGCCAATAGGGGTTGGGGAAGGCGGGGACGAGACGCCGGGTTGGGATGGAAGACCCGCCCCTTTCTCCGAGGGGTTGGCCGAGGGAACGCAAGGCCCGCCCCTTCCTCCCGCTTGAACCAATATGGGTTGGGAAAGGCACTTGGGGGGACAGGAGGCCGGATTGGCCGACGGGACGCAAGGCCCGCCCCTTCCTCCCACTCGAGACAATCGGGTTCGGGGAGAGAAAGGCCAGATTGGCCAACAGGACGTAAGACCCGCCCCTTCCTCCCACTGGAGCTGATCGGGTTGGGGAGAGGCCGGATTGGCCGAGGGGACGTAAGACCCGCCCCTTCCTCCCGCTACAGCCAATAGGGGTTGGGGAAGGCGGGGGGGAGAGACACCGGGTTGGCCGATGGATTCAAGACCCGCCCCTTCCTCCCGCTAGAGCCAATAGGGGTTGGAGTAGGCGGGGACGAGACACCAGGTTGGCCGATGGGAAGGAAGACCCGCCCCTTCCTCCCGCTTGAACCAATAGGGGTTTGGGGAAGGTGGGGGGACGTCAGACCGATTGGCCGACGGGACGTACGACCCGCCCCTTCCTCCCACTCGAGACAATCGGGTTCGGGGAAAGGCCGGATTGGCCGACGGAGTGGAAGACCCGCCCCTTCCTCCCGCTGGTGCCAATAGGGGTTGGGGAAGGCGGGGTCGAGACACCGGATTGGCTGACGGGGTGCAAGACCTGCCCCTTCCTCCCGCTAGAGCCAATAGGGGTTGGGGTAGGCGGGGCCGAGACACCGGGTTGGCCGATGGGATGGAAGACCCGCCCCTTCCTGCTGCTAGAGCCAATAGGGGATGGGGAAGGCAGGGACGAGACACCGGGTTGGCCGATGGGATGGAAAACCCGCCCCTTCCTCCCGCTGGTGCCAATAGGGGTTGGGGTAGGCGGGGCCGAGACACCGGGTTGGCAGATGGGATGCAAGACCCGCCCCTTCCTCCCGCTAGAACCAAGAGGGGTTGGGGAAGGCACTTGGGGGAACAGGAGGCCGGATTGGCCGACGGGGCGCAAGGCCCGCCCCTTCCTCCCACTCGAGACAATCGGGTTCGGGGAGAGAAAGGCCGGATTGGCCAAGGGGACGTAAGACCCGCCCCTTCCTCCCACTCGAGACAATCGGGTTCGGGGAGAGAAAGGCTGGATTGGCCGACGGGACGTAAGACCCGCCCCTTCCTCCCACTCGAGACAATCGGGTTCGGGGAGAGAAAGGCCGGATTGGCCGAGGGGACGTAAGACCCGCCCCTTCCTCCCACTCGAGACAATCGGGTTCGGGGAGAGAAAGGCCGGATTGGCCGAGGGGACGTAAGACCCGCCCCTTCCTCCCACTCGAGACAATCGGGTTCGGGGAGAGAAAGGCCGGATTGGCCGAGGGGACGTAAGACCCGCCCCTTCCTCCCACTCGAGACACTCGGGTTCGGGGAGAAAGGCCGGATTGGCCGAGGGGACGTAAGACCCGCCCCTTCCTCCCACTCGAGACAATCGGGTTCGGGGAGAGAAAGGCCGGATTGGCCGAGGGGACGTAAGACCCGCCCCTTCCTCCCACTCGAGACAATCGGGTTCGGGGAGAGAGAGGCCGCATTGGCCGAGGGGACGTAAGACCCGCCCCTTCCTCCCACTCGAGACAATCGGGTTCGGGGAGAGAGAGGCCGCATTGGCCGACGGGACGTAAGTCCCGCCCCTTCCTCCCGCTCGAACCAATAGGGGTTGGGGAAGGCAGAGACCGGATTGGCCGAGAGACGCAAGGGCGGGCCTACCGGCGAGGACGGACGGGCGGCGTGGGTGGAAGGCCAGCCCCATGGCGGCGCTGGGGCGTCCAGGACCAGATCGGGCGCTGGGGGTCGGGGGCCCGGCGGTCGCGGTTCCAGGCGCAGACGTAGGATGTCTCGGCGCCCCAGTCGCCGTCGTCCAATCTGGGGGGAGAGCGAGGGGGAATATATTCGGGGGGAAATATCTCTGGGGTGAAATATCTTTGGGGTGAAAAATCTTCGGGGGGGAAATATCTTTGGGGTGAAATATATATGGGGCAAAATATCTCCAGGGGGAATATATTCGGGGGGAAATATCTTCGGAGGAAAATATATTCGGGGTGAAATATCTCTGGGGAGAAAAATCTTCGGGGAACATATCTTTGGGGTGAAATATCTCTGGGGGAAATATCTTTGGGGTGAAATATCTTTGGGGTGAAAAATCTTCGGGGGGGAATATCTCTGGGGACAAAATCTTTGGAGGAAAATATATTCGGGGGGAAATATCTTTGGGGTGAAATATCTCTGGGGTGAAATATCTTTGGGGGGAAATATCTCTGGGGGAAATATCTTTGGGGTGAAATATCTTTGGGGTGAAATATCTTCGGGGAAGATATCTTTGGGGTGAAATATCTCCAGGGGGAAATATCTTTGGGGTGAAATATCTCTGGGGAGAAAAATCTTCGGGGAAGATATCTTTGGGGTGAAATATCTCTGGGGGAAATATCTTTATGGGGAGATATCTTTGGGGGGAATATCTCTGGGGAGAAAAATCTTCGGGGGAAATATCTTTGGGGTGAAATATCTTTGGGGTGAAATATCTCTGGGGAGAAAAATCTTCGGGGGAAATATCTTTGGGGTGAAATATCTCTGGGGGAAATATCTTTGGGGTGAAATATCTTTGGGGTGAAATATCTCTGGGGTGAAAAATCTTCGGGGAACATATCTTTGGGGTGAAATATCTCTGGGGGAAATATCTTCAGGGGGGAATATCTTTGGGGTGAAATATCTTTGGGGTGAAATATCTCTGGGGGAAATATCTTTGGGGAAATATCGTTGGGGTGAAATATCTTTGGGGTGAAAAATCTTTGGGGGGGAATATCTCTGGGGAGAAAACTCTTCGGAGAAAAATATATTGGGGGGAAAATATATATGGGGAAAATATCTCCAGGGGGAATACATTCGGGGTGAAATATCTCTGGGGAGAAAAATCTTCGGGGGGAAAATCTTTGGGGTGAAATATCTCTGGGGGAAATATCTTTATGGGGAGATATCTTCAGGGGGAATTTTTCAGGGGGGAATATCTCTGGGGAGAAAAATCTTCAGAGGAAAATATATTCGGGGGGAAATATATATGGGGGAAATATTTTTGTGGTGAAATATCTTTGGGGTGAAAAATCTTCGGGGGGGAATATCTCTGGGGAGAAAAATCTTCGGAGGAAAATATATGGGGGGGGAATATATATGGGGAAAATATATTTGGGGTGAAAAATCTTCGGGGGGGAATATCTCTGGGGAGAAAAATCTTCGGAGGAAAATATATTGGGGGGAAATATATATGGGGAAAATATCTTTGGGGGTGAAAATCTTTGGGGGAAATATCTCCAGGGGGGAATATATTGGGGGGGAAATATCTTTGGGGAGAAATATTTTCGGGGGGGGAATATCTCTGGGGAGAAAAATCTTCGGAGGAAAATATATTGGGGGGAAATATATATGGGGGAAATATCTCCAGGGGGAATATATTCGGGGTGAAATATCTCTGGGGTGAAAAATCTTCGGGGGAAATATCTTTGGGGTGAAATATCTTTGGGGGAAATATCTCCAGGGGGGAATATATTGGGGGGGGAAATATTTATGGGGAAAATATCTCCAGGGGGAATATATTCGGGGTGAAATATATATGGGGGAAATATCTCCAGGGGGGAATATATTCGGGGGAAATATATTCGGGGTGACATATCTATGGGGCAAAATATCTCTGGTGGAAATATATTCGGGGTGAAATATATATGGGGCAAAATATCTCCAGGGGGAATATATTCTGGGTGAAATATCTTCGGAGGAAAATATATTCGGGGGGAAATATCTATGGGGCAAAATATCTCCAGGGGGAATATATTCGGGGGGGGGGGAAATATCTCCGGTGGAAATATATTTGGGGGAAATATCTATGGGGCAAAATATCTCTAGGGCAAATATATTCGGGGTGAAATATCTATGGGGCAAAATATCCCTAGCGTGAATATATTCGGGGGAAAATATCTATGGGGCAAAATATCTCTAGCGTGAATATATTCGGGTGGAAATATCTATGGGGCAAAATATCTCTAGCGCGAATATATTCGGGGGAAATATCTATGGGGCAAAATATCTCTAGCGCGAATATATTCGGGGAAATATCTATGGGGCAAAATATCTCTAGCGTGAATATATTCGGGGGGAAATATCTATGGGGCAAAATATCTCTAGCGCGAATATATTCGGGGGGAAATATCTATGGGGCAAAATATCTCTAGCGCGAATATATTCAGGGGAAATATCTATGGGGCAAGATATCTGTAGCGCGAATATATTCGGGGGGAAATATCTATGGGGCAAAATATCTCTAGCGCGAATATATTCGGGGGGAAATATCTATGGGGCAAAATATCTCTAGCGCGAATATATTCGGGGGGAAATATCTATGGGGCAAAATATCTCTAGCACGAATATACTTGGGGGGGAAATATCTCCAGTGGAAAATATATTCGGGGTGAAATATTCGGGGAGAAATATCTATAGGGTGAGATGTCTTTGGGGGAAATCTGGGCTGGATTCTTTTGGGGGGGGGGGATTTTTCAGGGGAATTTTTTGGGGATTTTTCAGGGGGGGATTTTGGGGGGGAGAAGATCTATGGGGGGAAGATCTATGGGGGGCTCACCTGCCGTAGGAACAGGCCACCACGGCGCCGGTGGAACTCCAGGAGACCCCGGTGACATGGAGCTTTCGCTCCCGCGCCGGAGGGTAGTAGAGGCTGTGCAGGCAAGAGATCTGCCGGGGATCGAATCGAGACAGAAACGAAATAATTCTGATATATACAAATATATATATATTTGTATATATATATTTGTATACAAATATATATTTGTATATATATAAATATATATATACACACACACACACACACACACACACACATATATATATATATATACACACACACACACACACACAAACACAAATATACAAATATATATGTATTTGTATACAAATATATATATTTATATATATACACAAATATATATATATTTGTATATATATATTTGTGTATATATATTTATATATATTTGTATATATATAAATATATATATATACACACACACACACCTACACACATACATACACATATAAAGACACACGCACACACAAATTTACACACACACATACATACATATTTACACACATACACACATTTACACACACAACCTATATACATACACGCATATACATATGCACACACACACATCCTATGTACATATATATATATATATATATATATACACACACATACATATATAGACACACATACATATACATATAAACATACGTATATAAACACTTACAAAAATACATACACACACACACATATTTACACAGACACACACACATATTTACACACACATACACAAATATATATACACACGCACACACATATACACACACACACATATATTCACACACACACACATATATATATTTCCACACACGCACACACACACACACACACCCTATATACACACAACCTATATACATACATACATATACACACACACACACACACACACACACCACCTATATACACACACATATATATATACACACATATATATTTACATATGTACATGAACACACACAC